GAGAAAAAGAAAAGCTGATGCTCAAGTCATAAGCAGAGAACACCATATGCCTTCAGTTGAGCACATGTGCAAGTGATCCGTGGAGCAGAAACCAATTTAATCAAGTGCTTAAATTGAGTATTTATCTCTCCATACCTTAACTGATTCACTTGTAAAAATAAGTTAAGTGCTATGTGTGATTAAGAGTACCGTTTCACTCAAAATTCTTCTGAAATGACCTAAAAGTAGTGTTAATGTAGTAACACGCCACTAAAACTGTATAGGAGAAAGTGTTCTACCAAACTGTTTTCTTTTAGAAACATAATTTTTGTTTTGGAATAAACAAGTTCTCACACTGCAGCTATGTCCCATTTGAATATTTTTTTTTAAAAAGCGGTCTGTTGTTTCCTTCGCTTTAAGATTGTTGTTTTTCTTCTTTTAGATTGAATTATATTTAAAATATTACAAAAGTCCTCACTTAACAGCAAAGGAAGCAAAAGATTCACATAGGGATAGCTGGCTAGATAAAATTCATATTTAACCTTGCAATATAGGACCCAGACAGAAGCAAAGTAGAAAAAAAATTAAAACAATATGTGAGATAGGAATCTTTAATCAACCTTGTTGTATCAGCCGAGGCCGAGCATTCCACCCAGTCTTCTGGGGTTACCCAGCACCACTTTGAAAATGGATTACTTTCCACCGAAAACAATGCCAAAAAGGGGCTTTAGTTCTCCTGAGGGAAATTAGAACAGCCTGGATCATCAAATGGGGAAAAATAATCATTATCAGTAGCACTCAGAAATGGGAGCAGGGGGTAAGGTGAAACCAGATTGAAGTTTTGGAATGCTTCATGCCTTGTACATACATGGGAAGACCAGTGTGCAGCAGCAAAAGCTGGCGGGTTTGCGATGCTGAAGAACTTTTGCTTCCTCTAGCGGACAACATACACACCTGGTTTTGCTCAAGAGGTTTTGCTCAGAAGTGCACCTTTTTGTAAACACTCAGTAACTAGTCCTGGAGAGGGTAAGGCACCGAAATCAGATAGGGTATTGTGCACTTTCTATCAACAATTCGGAGTGAATACAAATGCATGTGGAAGTTAGCATACATTAACTTATACACACTAACAGATGAAAAAATACATTATAAGAACTCAGTATCACTAGGGTCCCTTGTTGTAGGTAAGGGAAATTTTCCAGCACCCCCTGCCATCACCTGCTCCCCAGGACTCTACTAGTGAGAGCGAGCTCTGTGGTGCCAGCTGCTGGTGTGCATGCAAGCATCAGGCCCCTTTACAACCAGGCTAAACATAACTTGCAATTTGACGCAAAGACTTGATTCCAACCTCAGCAGCAGCAACGTACAGCTGGCAGGAACCCCGAGAAAGTGGCAGAATATCATTTCCCAGATGCTGTGAAGTTGAACTAAGGTTTACATTACGACATGTGGACAGCTATGGCAAGATCTTTGATAGGTTAGTTTCTCTGCTTTTTTTCTTTCTTTCTTTCTAAGTAGAATTTCTCACCTCCCCCAAAATACTGAAAGCAGTATTAGCGAGAATTCATTGACTCATAGCCTTTTTTGGTTGGGGGGAGGTGTTAAAACAAAATATCTTGAATCCATGCTCCAAGTTACCAAGGAATGCCAAAAGAAAATGTGGTTGACATAGATATTTCCTATATACATAACTTCCAGCCTATATAAGATGATCAGATCTTTGGCCCTGCTATAGCCCTCTTTTGTGCCATTACAGCAGCACACTGCTGACTTCAGTTATGTATTCAAGTTCCCCTGAAGTCAACAGAATGTAACCATACACCTACAATTAAGTACATACTTGAATGCTTTGTTCAACAGGGAGAGACTGCTGAATTGCTGCCTCTGTAACTAATGATGAAATTGTAGTGATACACATTGAAATTGGGATTACGTGCTAAGTGTTTTATGGCAGGGATCTATGAGCCGCTGATGACTGGAAAGGAATCTACAGGCAGTCTGCAGAAAGGAAGTCACATTGCCACGGTCACACAGTAGCTGGACATGTCTTGCAAAGGACTGGCAGTAGCCCTATGAGTTTGAGATTTGCTGCTAGATGCTCTTCCCTTTACATAACATGGCAGAGGAAGGGCGCTGTTAACTTCATATTTCCAATTTACCACGTATATAATACCAAGTTGAAACAGGAGGCTTTTTCCCCCACTAGCACATGTGAGTAATCTAAGACTAACCTTCTCCCCTCTTCAATTCCTCACCCTGACACTAGAGGTGCACCTTACCTAGTAAGAGGGCAGCAGTATTAGTGCAGCCACACCGCTGGAGTTTTAACCACCTCCCCCCCAGTAACTGAGTTCAGAGCAAATTGTGAGCATACACTGCTAAAATTATCAGCAACTTTTGGTAATCCATCTATATAAGCAGCTATTGATACTTTGAGGGCTAAAACCACAGTAGAATTAGCAGGAGTGAAAAATATAATGGTAACAGCCTATACAGGCTTTCCATAAATCATTTATGTTCCTTCTTTCTGGCTAATTTCCACTTTTAATCCTCTCTCCCATTCCCCTATCTCCATGTGGAAGTATTACTGACGTGAACTTGGAGGCAAGTGCCAAAAGAATAGCTGTTGCATTGGCTGAACGTGACAAACTCTAAGGTCCTCTGCTGAATGCGTCCCCTGATGTGGAAAAGCATATACAATAATATACTATCCTAAGTGAGCAATGTAGAAAGAGCCAGCAGCCCTATACAAATAGAGCAGAGCAAGGAACATTAAAGGGTCAGAACCATTATAAAATTTGACAGAAAAAATCTGCAGTGGAACAGATTCAACCACCTCTACTGCTGAGTTTATTAAACCTCTTCAGAGTTTTTGAGAGGACAAGAAATGTGTCCAGCCACAGCTGCGGCAGCTGAATGACTGTATTCCTTCTGTTTCCTCTTAAAGGGATTTGTCCTCATACTTAATTGGCAATTTTACTATTCCTTTTTATTCAGCAATGTTAACAGACTTTCCCCCTTCGTTGCTGCAGAGAAAGAACCAGCATAGCAGGACTGCAAATTAGACTGTAGGTATGTTGCAAATTCCACAGATTCAAATTTCAACAGAAAGTCAAAACCACCTTTAAGTGCATAAAGCAGCTGTTAAACCACGCATTCTGATAGTAAGCTTGTCATACTTTCAATTAAGTTTTGGCACACAGATAGGGACTTAGCTCTCTTCCAACACAGGCAAATAATAATGAAAAAGTGACTTTGATGCTACCTGAAATCCAGCTATTCAAAGCGCATTGCCTACATTCCTTAGCTGCAGGCGCGGAGCCAGGATATGGAGATAATCATTTGGGCTGACTATGGGGGAGGGAGACGGGAGCTTAAGGAGAGTTAAAGTACTTTGGTCAAGAAAACTTAGACAGAATTTAATGTGCAAGGTAGCAATATAGCCATGTCTCTCACTCCTCATCCCACTCCCATTAGGTGCATTAGAGAATTAAAACAATCATGGACATCGTAGTATTTCTTTTTTTTTTCCCCCCTCTTTTTTCTTTTTTTGCTTGCCTCTCTCATCTGTTCCACAGAAAATCAGGCAAACCAGGCAAACCATTTCCCTCTCTTCTGGCATGGTTTTTCCAACTGTGGTTAACTTTCTGTGTTTCAAGAGGGCAAAGTGCCCACTGTGACAGCTGGCCAACAGTGGAACACTTTACGTGGGGAAAAATCTTCTCCTAATCTTCTCCCAAACATGAACTGCTCATTTAACCATGCCCTATACGCCTGAGATTTAACAAACAAAATTATCATCTTATTTTTACATATCTACCAATATTGCTAGTCAACCCAGAATAAATCAGTTCTTGCAAGACTGCAGCATCTGTGTTTTGACTTGATAATCTTCTGTAGCAGTAAAATTTGCACGTTGTAGCAAAAACTCTCTAGTGGCTAAAAAAGGCCCCTGGGACACTGAGCTCTTTTTCTCTTATTAAAAATGTTTTAAACGGGAAAGGAAAAGAAAAGAAAAGAAAAAGCAGCCATATCTCTATGACTTTATGTCACTACAGTATCCAACAATAACTTTTGTGGCTCAGTCACTTCAGAAAAAGTCTCTGGAAACTTCCTGATATTTCTAACTATGGATTCAGCTCCACCAATTATGGAAGAGCTTTCAAAGACGTTAATAACAGCCAACATACACTCTTCTAGCTACTTTGTCATTGGGGTCTGTCCCCACTCAGGTCTAAATGACAAGAGCAGGAGCACTCCCTGTTAACCTTAATGAACATGCCCAAATTTGAGAGCAAACACATGGCAGAACAGTATAACAGTGGTTCTACCTCCCTATAACCTTTTGGGGTTACAGCCCTACCTAAAACCCTCTGCCATTAGCAGAATTTATGTTCTGCTTCCTTCTCAACCTCCAGGATAGATATCTTCAAAAAGCAGGTTGTGCACTATATAACTTACTGCTCCACTGGGTCGAATCACCTGAGTGGCACATATTGTGATATAGGTCTTCAGTTGTTGCCTCCTTGTACGCAGGGTCAGCAAAGCACCCTCTGCAGGCAGGCACCAGCCTTTATCTTTTAAAGCTCTTTAGGCACAAGCAGAAAGTCACTATAAATTGTTCTCCCACTGTGCTGAGCACAGTCAAGTAACATGGAAAGGAAATTGTAGAAAAGGATTTGCTTTCATAGAATTGAAAGGAGGAGAAAAAAAAAAATCCCACTTCCGAATAGTGTCCTGGGAACTACAACTGCAAGAGAAAGTAGTCTTCTCCATCGTCAACTGCAATGACAGCACAGACAATAAGAGCTACCTTTGCTTTTGAAAACAAAGTACGCGCCAACAGCATAAAATACTAGAAAAGTAGTAACAGTCCAGTTTGTCCAGGTTTTTGTGCAGAGATGTGTAATCATTTAGAGCCTAGAACACAATGTGTTTAAACCCTAAATGCATAATACAAATAAAACGCATTTAAAAAACACTGCAAACGTATAAAACAAGAATATGGGAGCACATCTTACCTTCGACCCAATAAGAGTGTACAGCCATTGGATGGTTTCATTATGATTTATTACTCCATTCATACCATCGACATACAGCATGATTTGGCCCAAAGCTATCATAAAGGAAAGAGATAAGGAAAACAATCAGATCTGCTGAATATTTCTTACAATCCTAAACAGTGGTGGCAATTTACTGTAAGCAGCATTTTCCAAACACATCGGGAGCTGAGCTAACACAAAATTTTGGGCAAGACTCTGCTGGACAACATCCCTGTGTAACTGCAGTAACTCTTCTGACTTCATCTGGATGAAGTAAGCGTGGATTTCATCCAAAGGCAAGCACAAGCGCTTGTTCTTTCCTAAAAGACGTTACATTGTATTTTCCCTAAACTCTGCAAATAGTCTTCTGCACTGGGCTTACTATCACTACTATCAAAAGGGTTCCAACATCTACAAGTCAAACAGCCCATGAGCCAACACTTCTACCTTTTGTTTCAGAACTATGTAATGTTTGGAATCAGTATATTTGGATTAAGTTGACTGTTTCACCGAATTTCAGTAATCTGAAATTAAAATAGGGCAATTAACACAAATAAGTATAGCAAACATTCACCATTGCACCGTGGTCTTTTGCAAATGACTAACTTCTGCATTTTAGTGAGGATATACAACAAAGCATGAATAACAAAACATCTTCATTCATTTATTCTAAAGCACTTAAAACAATATTTCATAACATGCTAGTAAAATATCTCATAACAACAATCCCACAGTTTTCAATCCTGCTAATATGAGACTTTCTAAAGACAACAGCTATTAAATCTTTTTTGACTGATAAGGAAAGACATTTTTCATAAGGATTATGAAAAGTGGGTTAGCAAAATTCACCTCTCATCTTCGAAACTTTCCACTGTTAGATCTTCCACTTTATGGCAGGAGATCAAAGCATAGTAGGATGAATAAGAAATCACTGATGTAACACCTTTCAGCACGGCTTGTTGGCATAACAACTCAATTATGTAACACACAACCTGACAAGTCACAAGTACACAGCTTTATGGGGTGGGGGGGAACCCCAGAGGGTGAGGAAAACTAGGACGCTATTAATCTTCCAAACACATTCCAAGCATTTGCTAACTTTTTTAACGTTGGTTGTGCAAAGTGCCGTCGTGCTTTTTTCTCGAGGGGATTTTTTCAAAGAACTGAATGTTAGGCAAGCGCTTATGCATAGCCCTATAGCTAGACAGCTAACTTCCATTGTTAACCACAGTTAAATTCCCTCCTTTTCTCTTTGCTCTAGTTGGTCTCCTGACAGTTAAAAAAATACCTAATATTAGGTACTTATATTCCCCTTATTTAATCTGCTGCACCAGGCTAGAAGCAAATTCTCCCTATGTAGTCAGTGAAGACAGAGAAAAAGAGTGAGCTATCAAGGAGATAACAGGTATCCTAGGCAGGCTGTACTGCCTTTCAGATATGCCCATCTCTCTCCCCTGCTACGCAGGAAGCAATCATTCACCACGCTCCTAAAGGCACACAACTCCACCGAATTGAATTAGGTGGGAGCGACACAGGCCCAAGTGTTAAGGTAAAATTAGAGACGCAGCCAGTGAATGAGAAGAGATAAGAATTACCTTGACTGAATAAATGGCTTCTTTGTAGCGTTTCCATACAAGAATAAGAAAGGGGAGAACACTGCTATCCATCAGTAATCAGAGAAAGTTTTTAATTCTTGTTTTTACTTCCTTTCAAGACTAGCAAATTCTTTGGTTAGGGGTGATGGGATTTAATTTGAATTTGAAACAAATATGAAACACATTTTACTCTTGGCATATGCTTTCCAAATTAATATAAAAATCAAAGACAGCAAGAAATCTGCTTTTAAAGGAAAAACACGCACACAATAGAAAATTACTCTACTCCTTACGCGCAAGACCAGCTAGCCTGGATGCTTACGTGAGATCTGGGCTGCATTACTTCTCAGCTTCTTACATGCGACTCTTCATAACAACAATAGGTTAAGGTAAATTAGTAGCCCTTCGAAAGAAGCCACAACAAAATTCAGGGGATTCCTGACAATTTCTGTCGGATACCATTGCTCTTGTCCCCCTCTCCCAATCCCTCCATACTTCTTCTGTCATTATCAGATGCTATCCCACTTATGTGATATTATCTACATCTTTACAGCAACACGATCCTTCTTTGGGAACTAGGTGGAGAATTATTAACATGTGAAATACTACTGCTACCATTTAAACCAGCAGCCAGTAACAACAAGTTTCACAGGACCAACAATTACAAAGAACGCCATGAAACAGCTTAGATGAAAGGCACGTTTGCCATGGAGCCATGCTGTCCACATACAAGTCAGGACTCCACTAATTTCCTGTCACACACGGAGCTACCAGCTGCTGCCAGATCTTGGAATGGAGCTTCACATTGTTATTTCCTGTCTCTACAGTCACAAAAATGAAAGCAAGACACGATGGGGTTGAGGAGAAATCAGCCTTCATTAGATGGAAGAACAAGCTACGGAGAATCTGTACATACTGAGCAGGTGCCCTCTGCAGAAAGCAGCTGCCTTGCAAATTCTTAGCAAAGGAAAAGAATCAAATTCCATGAGAAGAGTTCAGGGAAAACATTTTCTCTTCATATCGTGTCAAACGTCTGTGCTGAAGAAGAAGAGGTACCATCTAGCAACCACGCAACATTCAAGCGGTGTGAAAGAGACCACAAACACGCTCGCGCAGGGGCCAGGCCGATGGGCTCTCAGGCCCTCCTGGGCCATGGGTCTGACCAAGCAGGGCATACCAACGTTGCTCTATATGGAGACGGATGGCAGACTGGCCACAGGGCACCCCACGCCATTTTATGTTCTCTGCAGCTTTTCTATCTAACTGCAGCTTATGTCTTGGCCCATGGCCGTAGTCTGCTGAAAAAGGCTCTAGTCAGAGTGCATACTCCATGTACCCACCAACATGCACACGTCTGCATGAACGTGCACACGCAAGCACCACGCAGACCCTCGTTAAGAAAGCATAGGCTAATTTGCAAGGCAACCTGAGGTTGTTCAGAAGGCCAACCTGGTTTAAAATCATTAAGGTACCCATTTGTACGTGCCTTCAACCACACTCCCTTTCTCACTGAAAAATGAGGAGGCTATTTAATCCATTTAATCCCATCCCTTGGCTAACTGGAATTCTTTTTGGAAGTATATCAACAACCTACTTGCATTAGGAAAGCTTGCTATTGTGCAGTAGGGGGCTGGGAGAGGAGAGTTAAATATGGAGCAGACTTAATTTGGAATTCCTTTGTTCCTAGTACCCTTGTCAAACCCTTAATCTTATGTGAAAGTAGTTTGTGACTTTACCCATAGCTATTTTCAAGTGGAACATTGCTGGATTTCTTAGGAAAGGCTTAGGTTAGAAAAAGGCAGATCCGCCACAAACTTCATAAATTTATGTGGTTTTAAGAAAACCTCTAAAAACTTGCCAGTACTGGCACCGATACGCTCTTTGACTCTTTTTTATGTAGAATTGACAGGACCCAAAGAGGAAAAACACTAGCACAAAACACCATCATTCTGAACATAATTTTGAGCAAAAGTCTTTCATTTTTCCCACCCAGAGCTTCAAGCTTTTCAAAGCTATTTCCTGCCCACACACCTGCTTCTCTCATCTTCTCTGTACACTTCATATTTGTACCACAAGACTTAGAGAAAACTGCAGCACTGAATCAGCAGAAACACTATTTCCTTTCAGCTTCCTAAGAGTCAAAACACCGTTCATAGTGTCAGCATTACGGCAGTGATGCATCTTATCATTACATTTGTTTAAATAAGAACAAACAAACATGCACAATAACGCGGGCCCAAGTCAGCCCCTGTCTCAGCAGGTTTCAGCTCCCAGGGAAGCTTCTGGCCCAAATTCAGCAGGCACTTCATAAGCAGCAGTAGCGATGCATGCCACAAGTTGTGTAATGATGGGTGAGCGTAAGTGCTATACTGAGCTGTAATGACAGTAATTTGGAAGGTCTGCTGTTAAAAATCATCTTTGCCATTGGTGCTGCCTCCAGACATGCTCTTACCTACCCTTGCTCCAGCTGGCGGCAAGTTCTGATGTTAAAGTGCAATGAGAATCCTTTATATCACAGCTTTTTCCTAGGACCTCCTCTCCCTTTTTCCCTTATATCCTACACCCATAAGCTATAACAAATTTACACTTTTCATGAGTGCCAAATAAATGGAAACAACAGTATTTTGTCCTTTACCATGTGAACAGTTGGCCAGATTTCCACCTTATTGTCACCAATGTAAAAATCTAGTCTCTTTGGAGCACGGCAAACACTTATAGGAGAAAACACCTTTCCACCTCATTTAATGAGAAATGAAGGGTCCATGTGATTGCTTTCACCCCATTTGGAACAGCCCATACCAATTACTGGCTTATTTACGCTACATGGAACACTGAAAAGGCATACTCCAACAAAGAGCACATCCTGATCAAGGATACAATTTCAGCATCTTTACTAATTAGTAAAGGACTACATGAGGGAGATAATAATACTGTTATCTATTATTATATTATGAAGGTGATTATTCTGAAGGGAAAACTACCTCAGAAATTTTTTCTCCATGTTTCTGCACTAGAGAGAGGCAAGAGCTCAGCTCTGAAGTGGGACTACCTTGAACAAACAAAATCTACAGCTCAGCCCTGACACGGGATGTCGGGAGGTTCTAGTTCGGCTTGTAACACACTTCATAGACAGTGCTTGCACACTACTCCACCAGGCAAGAGGTTATTGTCTCTATAAGATCCCAGAATATTAAATTACAGCCCACTAAAAAGTACATTGAAGCATGAATTACAAGTTCAACACCGATTTCAAGCTGATCAGTCCCTTCTGCTTGGGTGGCACACAACGTACCACCATTAATGGTTACCGAAGCCAACTAGTAACATTCAGATAGTACTATGGAATACCATAAAACAAAAAAGCCCCTCAAAATTTGCAAAGTCCTAGGCCTGAAAGAGCTACAGTTATTATAACTAATGTACACCTTTTGCTTTAAAAGGCCTTTTATCCCAATGGTGATGCAAAATCACTGCTAATA